GCCAATTGATATATTAGTGAAATACTCTAAGGGCACTGATGAATAAGGAGTTAAATGAAGTTCAACAATTTAGAGCTGACATATTTTCCATGTGCATTCTTTCTTATTTTATGTCCTTTATTGGCCTGGATATTAATTTATTACACTAACAGATATGTTGTTAATAGCTAATTAACTGTATACGAGGGGGGACCCAAAAATAACCGGAAACGACCTGTTGCGTGCGCATGCTTTGTAGTTACAAGTTGTGCTGCTAGGTGATGTTAGCTGGGGGTCTCCCGCGACTGTTAGTGAGCTGGCGTCAATCTGAGTTAAGTGGTTTGTCTGTGGTGCTCTGTTGTGTGCGTTCCTGTTTAAACCCTTTGGCGATTAGTGAGATGGCCGACCAGAAGGAACAAAGAGTGTGCGTGAAATTGATGAAGATCGTCGAAAGACCATTGACCAACATTCTGAGGAAACGAACATCTCATGGAGCACAGTCCAGCGAATTTTAACCGAAGGTTTGCACATGAGATGGGTGTCTGCAAAATTTGTTCCTCGCTTGCTCGGAGATGACCAAAGAGAAAACCGCGTGAATGTTTGCCGCGACTTGAAGAGTGAAGTGCAGTTTTCCCTAACAGAAAGCAAAATTTCACGCACACTCTTTGTTCCTTCTGGTCGGCCATCTCACTAATCGCCAAAGGGTTGAAACAGGAACGCACACAACAGAGCACCACAGACAAACCACTGAACTCAGATTGACGCCAGCTCACTAACAGTCGCGGGAGACCCCCATCTAACACCATCTAGCAGCACAACTCGTAACTACAAAGCATGCACGCGCAACAGGTCGTTTCCGGTTATTTTTGGGTCCCCCTTTGTATACTACATGTAGTATAGAGTACGTATTATATTCATCATCATTGGCACGACAGCCCTGAGTGGGCCCTGGCCTTCCTCAGAATTGCTTGCCATACTTCTCTATTCAATGCCACATTCCTCCAGTTCCTTATGCCAAAAATTCTGATCTCCTGCCACACACATTCTTCCCATCTCAATCTTGGTCTTCCCACTTCTCTAGTTCCTTCTGGTTTGGTATTAAATACCTTCTTAATCATTCTCTTCTCACTAGCACATATGAAGTGTCCAGCCCATTCAAGTCTTTTCACTTTTATGAATCTAATAATATCTGATTCATTAAGTAGTTTGTATAACTTAAGTTTATATCTCTTCCTCCACATCCAATTTTCTTCCACTGGTCCAAAATATATCTCAAGATCTTTCAAAGATTCTTAACAGTCTTTCATCTGATTTTGGGAGTGGCCAGGTCTCAGAGGCATACGATAGCATAAGTACTTTGTACATCATCATTTTGGTTTTCCTAAATATTAAATGAGATTTCAGGCATTTCCTAAGGCCATAGAGACATTTATTTGCTGAGAGTACAAGCTTCTTTATTTCATTACTAATGTCATTTTTACAATTAACCTCTGATCCAAGGTAAATGAAGCTATGTGCAACCTCAAATTTATGTGAACCAATTTCTATATGTGCAGGTACATTAGTGCAGTCTTTCTTAGTTACTGGCATGTACTTTGTTTTATCTTGATTAATTTGCAGATGCGTGCTTACATGCTACATGTTCAGTGAATCTTACCCTTCTTGATTTGATCTCTGTAATAATTACATGAAGACTGAAAATTATGAAGCTCCTTATTATACAATTTTCTCCATCCGTATTTCATCTCTTTTAGATCCATATATTCCCCTCAGCACTTTGTTCTCAAACACCCTTACTCTCGCCCATAAATAGGATTGTTGTTACAAACACCTTTGTACTTTTATACCAGTGAACTCTCATGACATCTGTGACTGCTAAAATTCTCTCTGGTGTAACATCTACATGATTGTTTAGTTATAGTAAATTAAACATCAGTAGCTCAGTCTATACGTCATCAAATAGCAGGCCGATTAATGAAATGGAAAGAAAATGGAAGAAGTGGCAGGTACTATTTCAACATTTTCCTGAAGGGACTGAGGGCAACCATGAAAACCCTTAGTCAGGATATCGTGCCATTGGGCGAAGATTTGAGCCCGAGACCTACCAAATGCGAAACAGGATTGCTATCCACTCAACCATGTTGTTCGGCATTAAGCTTATATGTGTAGCAATATAAAAGCAACCTACAATAGCAGTGAAGTAGGCCACCTCTGTGGTCTAGTGGTCAGAGTTCCTGGTGCTACCAGATTTTCAGAGAAGCAGTGGGTCTGGAACAGGGTCCACTCAGCCTCATGAGGATAACTAAGGAGCTACTTGAATGAAAAAAGTTGTGGCTCCGGTCTAAAACAAGCAAACTCCGTGGTTTTAGTCCGCAAGCGAACTATAGAAAACCGAAATTAACGGCAGTGGGGATTCGTTGCATTGACCATGCGACAACCTCTATCTGCTCAAGTTGGCACTAACTTCGCCGACAAGCGTCAGTCGCTCGGTCGGTATAGTTCGCTTGCGGACTAAAGCCACGGAATTTGTTTCTTGTTTTGTATACAAACAAATAAAACAGAGTTTTAATTCGTAAATTGAACTCTGTACAGATGTGGTTCAATTCAACAACCCATCCCAGTCATGCATGTTTATGAAAATTATACCATAATTCTTTTATTGCTCTCCACATAAAACTTCCCCCCCCCCGTTTGCCGTACGTTGCTGTGGAGACTCCATTAAGAACTGGATGGACCCCTAATCATAAAGAAACAAATTTCTTAACACCCCTTCCCACACAAAACACTGAACAGCTAACGTATGAGTACATAAAAAGAAATCAATAAAGAAAGATCAAACAAAATTTGAAGACAAATTTGAAGTGATTCAATATCACATAAATTTTTGTCACAACTATTATCACTGAGGAGCCGGGGTAGCGTAGTCGATACAGCGAATGATTATGGGCTGGATGACCGAGGGGTCGGAGTTCGAGTCCTGGTAGGGTCAAGACTTTACACCTTTCCAATTAACCAGACCGGCTCTGGGGTCCACCCAAACTCCTATATAATGAGTACCGGGTTCTCTTTCCCGGGGGTAAAGCGGCCGGGGCGTGAAGCTGACCACTCACATCCAACTAATGCCGAGATCAAGAAAATGTGGATTTATACATCCACTCCCCCATACGTCTTCGTAGCGTAGTGCTTAAATAGTTAAGTACAGGGGAAACCTTACCTTTACCTTTTTTCACTGAGGTTTGAAAACTTTTCAAAGACGTACTCGCCAACACGCAAATTCACTCCATACTCAGTCACTCTTCTACTGAAAAACATAAAACCTAAAGTAAAAGGTATATTCACTTCTTTACTATGCAATCACCACGAAATAATCTTTCTAGAATTTTTTCTTTCACACTCCAGTCTCCACACAAATAATTCGTGTGGCCCTTTATGTAACGTACTGTTTTCTTCGCAAAATAGCAACGGTCGATCGCACCTTTTGATTGAAACAATTTAGTGGTGGTCTATTTGGTTTCATTGTCGGTAGGTTATTTGAACTGCCACTGTGCAACACTGCCACCTACTTGTTTATTAGGTTTATTTTGCTGAATTCTCTTTCACGGGATGCATCAGAATTTGGAGGGGCAGAAATTATCGATATTGACGAGGAGTGTGAGTAACTTGTAAAAAAAAAAAAAAAAACAATTTCAGTAAGCCTCATTGGCCTTGGCTTCATACCGTCCGATGAGGATATATTCTGTAACCTTCTAAGTCCATTATTTGAAATGAGGCGGTGAAAGTGGAAATCGTAAGTCTTTACTGCTGCGTCACCAAATCTCCTGATTTCGCTCTCCGTATCCGACACAGAACAGACAGCAGACATACAGCGGTGACTATGTCAGGAAACCTTTCTTTCAAGCCATTTATTTGATTTAATGAGTCTTCTGTCTAGAATTTTGCGTTTGCTTGCACTATTTCAGTCAGCTGCAATTCCTCCAGTTATCCAGTAATTGATATATTCTTTAAAACGCTTCTTTTTCCTTTTTTTTTTTCTGGTCCTACAGTGTCTTCTAGCTTGCATAAGGAATAAAGTAATTTTATCGTGTACTTCACACAGCTCAACATCACCTCTCCTCTTTGGAAAATTAAGGAGAGTTTTTAAGATGGAAAGAAAATCCAATAAAAACTTGTCGAAATAATGTCAACAAGAACATTCAGAAGCACACTTGAGAACCGAAGAAATGAAAAGTGGGTGAAACAACTATTGTAAATGTTTAGCCGCCAGACGGTAAAATCTACTAGCCTCGGGTGAGCAGACGAGCGGTGTCCACAGCTCCTGAATTGTCATCGAACCAAAGTGAAAGATGTGAGGAATGTAGTCGGTCCGGTCTGATAAGTGGTAAAAAGTGTTGGGTTCGTACGAATCTTTACTGAAGCACCTATTAGCGTAGGTCTGTCCGTTCATCTGTACGTTGGATGGAGACAGCACAGATGGGCCTAGAGGGGTACAAAGCCTCCCCCGAGCCAAGAGGAGTAAGGTGTCCAGCTACAGTTCACTGGGGGCCGCAGCCCCAGTTTAAAATGTTCTTGTCAACACAACATGAACCTGAAGTTGCTAAAAATAAATTGATATGTATCAAAAAAAGAAAATTTAAAAATACGAACCCCCCCCCCCCATCATCTTAAAAGTACAGGTATGAGGGAGTGCAGTTGTATTTTATTCGTTCGTGGTCCCTCCTGTTGCTCCTGCTCGACGGCTACGAGCCGCCACTCCTTGTTTTTAATCACGCAGTTAAGAGCGCTTCCTTAACTTTACACTACGAAATGTGGGGCATGCATGATTCACAGATGATGAAACACATCAGAATATGACAGAACATCCTTCCAAGGTATGGAACAGAGACTGGATTTCACAATTGTTTCCAAAATTGCAAGTTACCTATGTACATTGCAGGAAAACCCCACGGTCATACAGTGATTTTCACGATTACCACAATGAGGCGCTGCCATCGCAATATTTGTGAACGGAAGTGCGACGGGTTAGCATACGATCCGTGCGAGCTAGCAGTTTAGAACTCAAGTTGGAGGATTGATCGTGAAGTGGCAATATTACTGCCACCGGGGCCTTCTCGGTTGTTTGTAGGCGGCAATCAGGCGAATCATTAATCGGGATATCTGAATATCAAATTCGTCATACGTAACGAACACCAGCACTTCAGTCTACTAATCTGATCAATAATAATCCATTGTTTTTCGTCATCATAAAGTTTCGTGTAGTGCGTGTAGGAGAAGAGCAAGGGGAAAGAGAGGCGCAAAAATAAATGTGAACAACTTCTGCAGCTGCAGTGTAATCACTAGGAAGCGTACGTGAGCGGAGCGCAGTTAAACTAAATTAACTCACCCAAAGCAGGTAAGTTTTTAGTTTCTTGCAAGGAGTTCTTGAAGTAACGTTTTAGGAGCAAAGAAGATCTGCATGTTTGAGAATGAGAATAAAGTGACGATACATTATTGTTTTCGAATTCTAATATTGTTGAAAACAAAACATTTAATACCTGTATCTGTTCTGTGGTTGGATGGAAAATAGTAACATAGGGCCTCTGCATTCAGTGTTTTCACACCATTGTGCCTGTACTGCTTCGAAGCTAGTCGCTGAATGAGCATTTTAAGGCCTCAGGGCCCATTCAAGCTAGATTTGTCTTCGCAGATATGTCGTAGTACAACATCAGCATCTAGTGAGAAATATTTTTTCGTCGACACACACTGAACAGATTTTTAAATGTGTGCCTGTGCAGTTATGTTCATTTTGCTTGCGTACATTAACTCACATATCTGGCGGAATACAGAAAATAACAGCACCGATTTTTTTTTTTTTTGCTGTTATTGGAAATGTGTTTCTTAAGCTAAAATGAAGGTGCAGTGGTCTAAACGGTGGATATTCAGAAATGTTTGTGTTTCTCGCATAAATTCGTTACAGTTGAAATTTAATTCACCATTTCACTATATATTACGCCTCGTTGTTCGCTAATTTGTACAACTTCCACAGTTCTTGTAAAAAAAAAAAAAAGGCAAAGCCATGCCTGTAACAGGCCGTGGAGGCCCATAGGGTTGTGAGACGTCGAGGCTGCCACATTTTCTAGACAATCGGCTCGCAGATGGCGGTGAGGTCAGCCATTGTACATATATTTAATGTAAACACAGGGGACACAACTAACATGTATATGCAGTTTTGCACTGCAAACACTTAATGTTTATAATATATGTATAATGTGAAGGAGGCGTGATTAAAATTTTGTAATAGGTTTCCTTTTGTCTTGGGCGTGCACACTGCGTTCGTTCTTATACAGGTAACTGTGAAGTTCGTAACAGGACTGAAACTGTCACCCAAGAGGGGTCGGTATATTAACCTCGGCAGTGCCTTGCCGACCCGCGACGGGGTGGGAAGCCCCCAGATATTTGTCCTTAACGTGTTAACTCTTTGAACTGCACCCCCCCGGACTCTAAGCTCCGACATCTGGCGAGCTAGTTCGAACTTTCTCCCAGAAGTAGACAGGCATACCTCCAAACGCAAAACGATGTAGCGGCTTCCGAGGTTCTAACTCGAGCCCCCCAAAGAGCCACTCCCTAGAACGGTTACAGCTGGCATTATCACCACTGTATGGATGAAACTTGTTTGAAGATCCCAGAGAACTGAACGAAATGGTAGAGACTGTCCGTCATGCATTTAAGATTTTGGCGGATGAAATTTCACGCAGGTGCATATTTTACACAGTCCGGGATTCTGGTCTGCGCAGACCGATTTGTTTGCACAGACAGAGTGATTTAAAAATCTGAGCGTATGTGGTCCCCGTAGGAGAAGCGAATTTTGTTGGCCAACAATGAGCAACCTCTTATGCGTAAGTGCTAGTTTAAAAACCTTAAACCCAGCAAGGACCGTAAGCCGAGTGATAACAATAAAAGTGATATTTTTTTCAGCATAGCTTTACACCAAGCTTTTAAGCAATAAACATTATTATTATTAAGTCAGTAAAAATATCAATAGAATTTTTACGAAGTAACGGTTTTGTTCTGAATGATGGATGAATGTCATCAAGAAGCATTCCACTGCTTCCTTATTCTACTCCTTCCTAATCGCCAAGTTCTCAGTTTCTGCACGTATGTGATAAGTAGCAACTTAGAGGCAGCTTTTCAGTCTTCTTCTCCATTTCATTCATCATCATCATCTCCTCCTCCGCGGTCGCGACAGTCTATGATGAACTTGGCCTCTTTTACGATTGATCGCCCTTGGTCCGGATCCTATGACGTTCTTCTCCAGTTTCTAATTCCCCTTGCCTTCAAACCATCAGTAACTGGATCCATCCATTTGATAGCGTGTCTGCCTACTCCTCGAGTATGCTCTGGTTTATGTAGAGTTACCTTCCTGCAAGGGTTCGGCTCCAGCATTCTAAAAAATTGTTCCAGCCATCTGAGCGGCCCTATTTAGATCACTTTTACTATATCTGGTGCATTATATAATTTATAAAGTTCGTGGTTATACCTTGATCTCCATGTACCATTTCCTTAATTGGGCCATAAATTCTTTTTAATGTTCGTCTTAATATCCTTCTTTCAAAGATTCGAAACATATTTTCATCTTTCCTTTTTAGGGCCAGGTAGGTAAGTATAGGCCTTACAGGCATCTTATGTGGAGCACATTTTGTCTGTCTCCTTAAATGTCGTGAACTTAATTGTTTTTTAGGCCATAAGTAGGTTGATTTGCCATCAGAATTCTCTGTTTTATTTCAATAGTGATGTTATTATCTTCTGTTAGAGTAGATCCAAGATATTTGAATATTATCACCCTTTCAAATTCCTTGTCATCCACTTTAAGAATTCATGAATTAGATTACTTTTTTGTTACGTCCATGAATTTTTTTTTGCAGACTGATTGTAAATCCCATTTTCTTCACTGCTCTACTGAGGTTGACCGCCTCTGTGGTCTAGTGGTCAGAGTTCCCGGCTACAGATCCAGAGGTCCGGGTTCGATTCCCGCCGCTACCAGATTTTCTGCGTAGTGGGTCTGGAACGGGTCCACTCAGCCTTGTGAGGATAATTGAGGAGTGATTTCAAGGAAATAGCGGCTCCGGTCTAGAAAACCGACATTAACGGTCATGGGGATCACGCGACACTCTCTGTCCGCTAAAGTTGGCACTAACTTCGCCGACAAGCGGCGGTCACTCGGCCTATATAGTTCGCTTGCGGACTGAAACCACGGAGTTTGTTTCTTTTTCTTTTTTTTTTGGGTTTACTGAGGTTTATAATTGCTTCTTTCAGCACACCTGTGGTTCCCCACACTAAATTTTTTTTCCTCGAAGTGAGACGTTCATTTCAGTCGTGCTCTGAGTGATGTCAATGCAGAACACAACTCACACACATCCGGTCTCCAACGCAAAGCCGAGGAAAATATTTCTTCTTCATTTCCAGCATATAATTCAGTTTCTGAAACTGTAAATCATACGAAGAGAATAGTGTATAAGGGAACTTGGCGTCTCGTGCGAATAGCGCTTCATAATAGCAGAACAAAAGAGACCAAGCTGACTGTACGAAATAAGCTGTAACAATAAGCAAGTTATTTTAAATATTTCAGAACATAACGAGGTGAAGTATGCTGGTTTGTATAGTAAGGTGCTGTTAGTTCCTCGCCCGAACTCCAAGCTGGAGGAAGCACCACTTGTCGATTGTCCACGACTGCTCATTCAGTATGTATGCAGGTGCTGTCCATGTCTGAAGGTCGTCTCGTCCATCCGCAACCTAAAGACATATGACGCGATGGTGTCAAGGGTCCCATGTAGGCGCATATTTCATGACGCCGTCAGTTCTGCCATAATGGTAACAGCACCCGTAAAGAGGAAGCGAATTATAATGATTCAGTCGAAAACTATTCTACAGCGTTACATACAACATAAACTTCTTTGTCTGGCAGAAGGCCTAACAGATGATTCTGATTTTCCAGTACGCTTATCTGAAGATTCCTTTGCTTTATGCACCTCGAGTTATTTCCAGTTCTCCATAAGGAAAACCACACCCAACCTCCTGTTCATTTGACACAGAGGGAACTTTCCTCGGGCAGCGTGAGCTTAACCACTCATCCAAATTGTTTAGATTACGAATACATGGAGCTTTACATCTGTTCCCCGTAAATCTTCATAACTTGGGGCTTAAACACAGAGATAATTTTGCCTTTATTCTGCGTTTCCCATAAAGAAATCCAGGCTGGATCCAGCCAAACTCGTAGCTCCCAAATTCGATTTTTATGTGCCTCAAGTTTATAATTGTCATAACAGAATAAGGAGAACATAAAATATTTATTCGCGGTTGCCATGTGCTCATTGTAGGTAAATATATAAACGTATTTCAATCAATCCACGCCGTACAATATGAACTGCTGAAAGCGTCGTTAAATAAATAAATTAACCAACTATTTTTTTTATTGCTAGTGGGGTGGGACTAAGTCCCTTGTACTGCGTCCACTTCTGGCCTGTTGCACCAGCCCCAGATGATAGGTAAAGGTGATTGTGGAGCAATTGGTGGAATGAAGATTGGCAGGGGAAACCGAAGTACTCTGAGAAAACCTGCCCCAGCGCCACTTTGTCCACCACAAATCCCACTTGACCAGACCCGGGATCGAACCCTGGCCGCCGCGATGGGAAGCCAGCGACTAACCGCTTAAGCTATGGCGCGGCCTTACTAACCAACTAACTAAGATCTAAAAATTTGTGACGATGGTATATTGCTACAAGTACGGTAATATGTTTTTGGACATTATCCGTTGTCTCGTCTATTTTCAAAAAAAAAACCCGTCCTGTTTCTTTTAAAAAAACGTTTCGGAGACTGGGTTCTGTCCCCGTCAGATGAAACCTACTCAGTTGGGTCCAATAGATAGAGCCAGCCTCTATCTCTGGAGATAGAATCCAGAATCCAGTCTCCTAAACGTTGTGTTTTTTTTAAAGAAAGAGGACGGTTTTTAGAAAAATAGACAAGACGACGGATAATATCCAAAAAACATAATACTTGTAACTAACTGACTATTTAATTAAAGTCGCTGAATTCTAAGCACCATCCAATACAACAAGTCGCTTAAGCAATAACGAATCACATTCTCTTCTATGTTCCGATTCTTATGCCATCTTCAGTGTCTTTCACCTTATTATTAAAAGGAAACCTTACAGTTTGAATAACAAGAATAGACAAATATTTAAAACTTGATAGAAATCAGTCGGTTGATTTCTACTCTTCATCTAAAATCATGGTACCTGTTTTAATGTTTTAGATATATACAAGCTTACCGCCATCTTTGAGCCGATTAATGTTATGTTTTAGCGTCCTGTTGCACTGATTCATGTCCATGATTTATTCCAAGCGTGTTACAGTGCA